TGATTGAGGAAATTCAGTCTAGTTCAATGTGTAATAATTCCAATGTTGATAAGATGATTTGGAAACCTATAGCTCAGGGAACTTTCTTAGTTAAGATAGCATGGAATTTGGTCAAAGCGAGAGGTCAGGTTAATGAGAAAACTAGATGAATTTGGAAACAATTTGTTCCTCCAAGTGGCCAACTGATTGGATGGAAAATATTAAAAGAAGCAATGCCTTTGGATTTTCTTTTTTATCATATGGGTGTGGTTTTAGCTAGCAAATGCTCATTAAGATACAATGAAGTGGAAACTACATAAAATGTATTTGTAGGATGTTGTTTCGCTAAGGCAATTTGGCGAAGGCTTGTTGCTTTAATGGGGTTTATTTTGTTAGAAAATGAAGAGCCACTTTCTAGATTTATGAGGCTTGCAGAGGTTTTTAAAAAGTCTTCTAACAATCAAAGGTTGATTAGAGGTGTCCTTTTCTTGGTGTACTAGAAGATCTGGAGGTAATTAGAAGGGTTTTTGAAGGGACAAAGCTTCTTTCTTCATCACTTGTGCAAATAATTCTAAATATACTGAAGTTGCAATTGGTTCATATTAAGCCTAAGGTTTTGGATTCTCTCACAGAGTTAAGTCTTCTAAGAGTTTTGAAGGTAGACATTCCAAGAACCTTTATTGTTCATATTCAATGGGTTAATTGGTCTTATCCAATGGATGGGTGGTTAAAGTTGAATGTGGATGGAGCTTCAAATGGCAATCCTGGTATGTCAAGGGGAGGAATGTTATTTGAAACCAGTGGGGATAGGTAGTTCTTGCTGGTTCGTAATTTTATGGCTACTGTACTAACATGGAGGCTGAGTTAAGAGCATTGAGGGATGGTTTAAAAAATTTGGAGGAGCTTGGTTTGACAAATATCCTATTTTCATTGAGTTTGATTCAACAATTTTAGTGGATATGGTAACAGTTGCAATTAAATGTCATTGGCAATTCTGGTATCTTCTAAATGAGATACTCAATCTCAAGAGGAGATTTGTATCTCAAATTTCCCATGTTTGTAGGGAAGTCAATATTGTGGCGGACTATTTTGCAAATAAAGGGATTAGGGATAGGCTTCAGACAGTCTTCACACCTTTAGATTCTCTCCCAACTCAGGTCAGGTTGCAGCTACTACAAGATTTTAGGCACATCAAATCTTCTAGGAGAAGACTTTCCTTTTCCAATATTTCTTAGCTTGATAGGAGACTTACTTTGATTCATTAATTGTTTTTATTCTAAAGAATAGTGTAACTCCTTTAGAATTTAGGGTTAAGGTATTAAGTCCCCCCATTTGTTGTAAGCTTTAACTATATCAATAAAGTATTATTTTAATTAAAAAAATAAGTGCATCTCTGAAGTGGTTTCTAATCAGTAGCGAAGCCAGCTCCCCTAGTTAGAGAAACCATCAGGTTGAATATAATGACAATCACCAAAATTCAACACAACTTGTGAACAAAAAGATAAGTAAGCCTTTCAACAGCTAGTTGTAGGTCAGATTTTAAGTGATTTAAATTAAAATTCGATTCTCTAATGATTGTTTTTTTTTATTTTTCCACTCCATATTCAAATTTTTTAAATACTAGAAATAAAATAAAAATCCAATTTGATATGAGGCTCAACTAGGATTGAATTTCAACAAAATTATTAGTTCAATTTACTCAACTGACCACTCAATTTCATCCTGCCTGCCTGTATATCTAAATCGAACTAGATCTCAATCAGATCAGATGTCAGTATATGCAAATTTGCATTTTTGAAACATATTAATATATTTGGACTCGGGTAATTAGTCAAAAGTATTAATTTGCCTCTAACTAGTCGAATTCATAACCAGATATGATTCAAGTCAAAATTTGATCTATTGAAAGGATTAACAATGAGTAATGTTTGACAATCTTTGAGCCTTCAATTATAGCTTAGGCCATGAGTTGTTATCTTCGATTGAGGAAAAATGGGGAAAGGAGGATTAGATCAGTGACTTGGTCTGTTGCTGTAGAGAGAAGCAAGATAACTAAAACTGTAGAAAGACTTATGGGAGTGAGTCGCATAAGGTAAGTTTAATGTAAAATTTTTATTTATCAAATAATCTCACACATTGTAAAAGATATAAAATATCCAAATTAGTCAATGGGGGCGAATAATAATTTTAAATTTATTAAAATTTTCAATAAACCATCGATCCTGACTATGCTCTTGTTTCTAATGACATCATTCAATCTTTATATGCATCTTCATGCTTAGGACAAGATAACGACCTAGACACCTAAGATAAACCCTTAGAAAATTTTAAATTAGGTTGATTAGGATGAAAATAGAATTGGACGTAATCCGATTATGACTCCTAGGTGATTTTAAAAGAAATTTTTTCTAAATGATTTATAAGTTTTTAAAATATAGTTTGAGTCACAATTGGACCCCTCTTTGAGCAACATCTTTTAGTTTTCAAGAGGACAAGTTTTTGAATGGTTATATGTTTAAAAAATCTGTAGGGAGCAATCTATGCTCACTTGTCTTCACTAGAGCAGTCTCTTTATGACCCATGGAAGAAAATGGAAAAAGGCCATGAAAGACAATACAGGACTCTCTCTGTGAGCTCATTTGAGCATTCTTTTATGGTCACTCGAGTGGTATTCATGGTTGCTCAAGTGGTGCTGGCCTTTGTCGAGATTGGAACCTATTTTTCATTCCAACGACAATTGCCCTATGACCGCCTTCCCACTGATTGAGCAATCGTTCTTGAATTTGAGTTTTCTTATTTACTAAGACTACTCTTATTCCAGACCTATAAATAGGGAGAGCCTTTTCCATACCTAGGCTAAGCCTTTAGTAATATTTCTACAAGAGAAAATCATACTTTTATATTGAGAGCATCAACCTTATCATAGATCCCTAAGACCCTAAATGCTACCACTAGAGATTCTAACCAACTTCAGAACTTAGAGAAGAAGATCTTGATGGTTTGATTAACCCATTGTTGTGCATACCAAGGATCATTGATGTGTCCATGATTGCTCAAGGCCTAGACGAACCATGAGACGAGGAGGTCCAAGTGAAGCTACACTAGACGTTGAAGAAGGCACTTTGGCAGAGAGACAACAATCAAAGGAACATCTAATCATGCTATTGGTTTAGGTATAAGCCTCGATTACTTGTATGTTGACTTAGCGAGTAGTGGATTAGGCTTTGATGAATCCTAAGTGGTTTCCTGCAGTTTTTCCCAATAAGGGTTTCCGCGTCAACAAATCGCTTATATTCATTATTGATTATTGTATACACTTGTGATTGTTTACACACACACGCACTATGTGTTTGTTGATTTGATTGTTTGATCATCTATTCAACCACAGTTGTGAAAATTGGGTTTGGGGTATTGGGATCGTAGTGAGATTGATTATGAGCGAATTAATTGAATATTAATTAAAACCAATTGTCATGGTTGTGGTGATGAAAAGGATTCCTCATTATTATTTACTAAATCTTTTTGAGAAGAGGTAATTGCGGTGATTTAGGTTATTATTAGTAATCAATTGAGCTTTGAAATGCAAAACCTATTCACCCCCTCTAGGTATAGTGTCTCGAGCTTCACATGTATCTTCGTGAAGGAAGATCTACATCGGTTTTCCCAGTCATAACAACAATTAGTATTAGAGCATGGTTACTTTGAGATCATACCTTTCTCGGCCTTTTGGCTAAGATCAAATGTAGTATCTATTCTTATCAGTTTAATATTTGATACTTGGGACAATGTCTCACATGATATTAAATTAAATTTTTCAAGGGGATGGTCTACCACAGTAGCTTGCTATTGGGATCCTCGAGTGTCGCCTTTGCGTTGCACTATTGTATTGGCCTGGCGCACCTCATTTAAAAAAAAAAGACATATCTTATTTTTGCTTACTTGCCTAGTTTTCCTTTAGATATCTTTTGTTACTACTAGTTGTCATTCAATGGAGTCTCAAAAGGAAAGTGGTTCAATTCCATAACCTCCTCTCTTTGATGGTTCTAATTTTGCATATTCGAAAGCTTGCATGAGAGCGTTTCATAAATCTATTGATGGGAGAGTTTGATTGACCGTGCAAGAGGGTTGAAGCCTTCCCACCACCACCATGCAAGTTAAAGGTGGTGAAGCGGTGGTGGAACTTAAAAGGCTTGAATGCAATATTCAATGTCATGACACCCAATGAGTTCCAAAGAATCACAAATTGTGAGATTTAAAAGGAGGCATGGGATATTCTTGTGGTTTCACATGAAGAAACTACAATGGTCAAGATGTCTTGTCTCTAAAGGTACACCTCACAATTTGAAATGTTAAGGACGTAAGAGGAAGAAATTTTTGGCAACTTGTTTGCTAAGTTATGTTATATTGTTAATTCTTCCTTTGCATTAGGTAACAAGATCGACGATGCCGCCACTAATTGAAAAATCTTGAGATATCTACTAGAGAGATTTCATGCTAAGGTGACCTCACTTGAGATGAGTGTCAACATAGCCACGGTATCGGTTGAAGACCTAGTAAGGTTTTTTTTGAATTTTGAGATGAACTTTCTTCCACCCAAGAAAGTGAAGGGTATGGCATTAAATTCCAAAATTGAAGAAGAAGGTAAATTTGTGTCATCCCAATTGGGAGAAGGGGACATAGCCTATCTTGCAAGAAAATTTAATAAATATTGTAAGGCTAGTAGTGTCAAGTCCTCAAGGTCAAAAGGAAATCCAAGTACACCTAAGTCTCCTAGAAAGGAAAACAAAGTGGGGGTAGACCTTCTCGACATGAGATTTAGAAGATAGGGCAAGGTCTCCAATGCTATCAATGTCGTGGGTTTGGACATGTGGCTTTGAAATGTCCTAGTACTACAAAGAAGGACATGTCCAAGGATAGGAAGAGAGCCTTAAAGGCTACGGTGAGTGAAAGTGAAAATGAGTTCACAACGAGTGTTAACTCCTTTTCGTCAAGTGATGAAAAAAACTTCACCGCCTTTGTAGGTTTCCATTCCTCTCCCCCCAAGAGAAACTTCCAAAGAAGAAGAAAGGGAAGTTGGGTCTAGTCCCACTATTGATGTAGATAACTTAGAAATAGAAGTCTCTACAAGTGAAGATGAGACCGAGAGTATTGTGGATCTCCAAGATGCTTATAACGAGTTATACAAGGAGTGTCTCAAACAAGGAAATAAATTGTTTTCATTGAGCACAAGGCTCAAGATGAGTGAAAATGAAAAGAAAGCACTTCATGTGGTTTTAATTGAGTCCAAAGCTTATATTTGTGGGCTTGAGGAGGAAAAGAAGTCCCTTCATGACAAGGTGAGCTTCCTTGAGGGAGAGCACAATGGGCTTTTAGAGTCGAAGAAAGGTCTTGAATTTAAACTTATCAACCTTGATAGAGAAATACATGAAACACAATGGCTCTTAAAAAGACTTTCCCTAAGCATCAAAAAGCTTGTCAAAATGTTGATTATAAGAAAAAGTGTTGGTCTCAAAAGAGGTTCAGGATTCATTAATGAACATAACACCACTTCTTCCAAGACCATGTTTATGAAGGGTGACCCCAACCCTTCACCCCCACAAGTAAGCACAAGTCCCAGAAAGACTAATAATGGTAAGGGTAAGCATGAAAAGAAAGCGGTTAAAAAGAATACTCAAACCAAATCATTTGTGTGTTTTACTTGTGGAAAGCACGGTCACTATAGTGCAAATTGCATTCAAAATAGGGAAGTCTTAGACAAAGATCTCATGCATCTAGCCAAACAATCTAAAGCATTGCAAAATCAAGTTGTCAATCTTTCCAAGCTTTTAGAAAGGTCAAGTGTGTCTAAGTATACTCATGCATCATCTTCACATAGACCACGGGTTAGAGTGCACACGGCTTCTTCTACCCCCAAGATGAAAATTGATCTACATTTTTTGGGAAGAAAAGAGCTAGTCCTTCATCCATTCCCTGACCTAAACTGAGTTTTAGGAAGGGAAAATGAGATTGGTTGTCAAGGGAGGACTTTGAGAAACTCATCATCTTTAACCAAGTTGGAGGCCCCGACTGCTTCTAATAAAATCAGGACTCCTAAGAAGTAGGAGATGTGAGAGTATGGACCTAGGTGATATTTAATGTATGGACCCTAGGGTCATACATTTTGTACATATTTTTTGTTTATTGTTTCATTTATTTTTCTATATGAAAATACAAAAACATTTAAAATTTGAAAAATAAAAAAAAAAAAGAAATAAAACAAATTCAAAAAGAATTTTGATGTCAATTTTGACATTCTTTTTAGGATTTATGGTAAAATGCTTTGTGTTTTTCCTTTGTTTTGATTGAATCTTTATGCATTTTTTTTCTTGTACATGTGTTAATTGAAAAAAAAATCAAAAAAATTGGAAAATAAAAAGTTAAAACGATTTTCTTTTGTTTGTTTTATGATCATGGTAATTTTTTTTTATGATCATGGTAATTCACACTTTGATTTGCATTGAAATTGTCACATCCTTAAATTAAAGTTGAAATATGCATTGCTATGAGTCATAATAGGAGATAGAGAACTTAGTGGCTTAAATCCAATTGCATGATTCATTAGCCAATGTCTCTTTCATCCTAGCATGCTTGGAAAGTATTTACCTTTGAAAGATTCAAAACCAAGTACACGCATGTCATTCACCTTCACACTTAGGAGTTCGATAACTTTGAGTTATTAATGATCTTGAAGGACTCTAAATGTTGGTGATACATTGTGACACCCCCAATTTCGAGGCTATTCATTACCCGTTAAGCCTTATCAATTAACTTAAGGCCTCAGTTCCGGTGGACCAATTCCAATGGAATTCCGGCAAAGTCTCCTTTTTACAGAGAGCTCCACACAAAACAAAACTTGTTTCAAGGCAATTACAATGACCTTCCAAGGTCCAATGTAAACATTTAAATAATTTTCATGCCTTAAACATCAACCAACAACTCCAAATATACAAATCTTTCATTTGTCAAAAGAATAGATGCAAATGTTCCCAAATTACATGCATTTACAAAAGAATATACATGTGTTGTATATTTCAAAAATACAAGGCTTCCTAAGTAATTACAATTGGGACTAAAGGTATCTATTAAATCAAAATATGAGCTCGAACTCTGGCTTTATTGCTTGATCATTTTCCCTAATTCTTGACTCGAACCTAATTTTGTGTCTACGGCGTATAGAGATTGGTGAGTGTCACTCTCCCTCGAGTTCAATGCAAGAAGTGGGGAAATTGTGTGTGGATGAACAAAACATGAATGTGTGCAAAAAGGGCTCCCCAAGCATAGATAGACTTGTAATGTCATGTTTTAGTTGGAATTAATATTCTAAGGTCATCTCCTTAGGGAAGGCGAGGTCGGGTGTTTGAAGAGTGATTTGTAAAAAAATAAAAACTGAAAAATATTGTGATTTGAAGTTTGGTAGTTGTGAATTAAGAACTATGCAAGAAAGCAAGGTTGGCTAATCCATAGAGGTCATTCCAATGGGAATACCAAATCGACTCATTTCATTCAACCAATGGTATCTCAGTGTTTGATTGATTCGTAGGAAGTGAGGGACTAATGTAATTGTGTTGGGCAAGAGCAAACCCTGTCACAAATCTACAGTGTATCAAAAGCCCACAACCATGTTTGCACTCAACCTAGTCAAACCAAACACTTTGCACTACGAGGAAGAATAGAAGAGAGTCGATTTCACATACCCAAGAGGAAATCCCTTTTGGATTAGCCAACTAAAAGTTTAGCTATGCATGATAAAAGCAAGAACAAACATTAAGTAGAGAAACATGGTAGTGAAATCAAGAATGGACTTGTATTAATGTAAGATAAGGTTTAAACTATAAAAGAAAAGCCATTCATACCCAAAATTTAAAGCTTAAAGGAAACAGGACCCAAATGTAGAAATGAACCACAAGAAAACTTAACTAAACTTAATTACAACTTGATTAAAAGAGATTAAAGTGTAAAAGAGAAAGATTGCATGTGCAATGGAGCTTACTACAATGAAAATGGTGAAGGAAATTGTAAAGCCCAACTTTCTCTCTCTAGAACTTCATCTTCTACCTTGGACCTTCTTTCTCTAAAAGTATGATAATCTAAAAATGTCTGTAGGAACTCCCTATTTTTGTCCATCCCCTCTCTTTTAGCATGAGTGACAGACTTGGAGTGATTGGAAAGAGATTGTCTACCAAAGCTTCCAAAATCAATCAAAAGGTGGTCCTCCTATACTTTTCCAACCACTTCTTCTCTCTCACTTGGCTCCCCAATCCCTCATGCATAAAATCTGGATATAGGGGATAGGAGATCATCATGGAGTGTTAGAAATGTTAGAGCATGGGTTTGGTAACAAAAGGTGAGTGACGCCCCAAAAATCGAAGGTCCTTTATCAATCTATTGATCAACCCATCAACCCGTAGAATACCCATAGATATCATGTAACTCGATATCATGCTACTATGCCCCATTTACCGAGATCCATAATTTAACAAAATTCAAGCAGAGTCTTCTTTGTACAGGGAGCTCTATGCAAAAAACAACTTATGCAATTATACAACATTTAATTACATAACCCATCCGAGGTCCAATATACATCAATTCATACTCCCACATCCTAAATTTATGCATCAAACATAGTTAATATAAGTTCGGTTACAATCATTTCCATAGATTTACATGTCCAAAACCGTTTTCATAAAAGTTTTACAAAACAAAGTTTAAAAGCCACAAGTCGGCTTTTCTTCATCCTTGAGGCCCCAAATACGAGTCGTCCACCAGTATATAACATGTACCTAAAATATTTTCCCATAAAGGGTGAGTCACGCTCAATAGGGTTTCTCTTAAAAAGGTCACTCCCCAACCTAAGTGCATATGAAACATCCACATGCAACATTCAACAAGCAGCAACCATTCTAATCAATAATATGCAATTCAATTTTGGAAATCACCATGCCATGCCATGAAATGAGATGAGACTCACTCATGCACTTCAAACCGAGCCCTTTCCGGCTCCCACAACTCAATGCAATGCCAATGTGTATAAATCCACCATTTATGTTGCACATCATATGACCATTATAAATCTTGGGTCTTTCTTGGGGTGGGTATTCATGGACTAATACCAAGGGTCACCCGACCCACATAGAATTCATGGGCTTCCACCAATGGTTCCGTGAACACCCACACACTTTATGGGCTGAACCAAGGGAGTGCGTATCCCAATCACCGGGTCTTGCACCAGAGGGATCTTTTTGCTGTTCTTGCTAACCCCAATCCTATTTTCAATGCAAATCATGTGACTCAATCGAATCTCTGCCCAACTATCCCGAGCCCATGAATCATTCACCAAGAATGGTGTTTGATCAACTATGCACACACATCCACACTCATGCCTCATGCCCATGAATGCGTTGCCTTCATGCAAATACAATGTAATGTGTAATTGTAACATTAATATCATGTCCAATATGTACGAGTGTTATATGAACAATCTCAACCACATTTCAACACATTCCATGGTTAATTATATTATAAGCATATAATTTTTATAAATCCTCATCATGTCAATATATCATGAGCATGTATCAACATTTGCATTTAACAACAATTTTCTCCAAGCATGTTATCACATAATCTCATGCAATTAACACACTTTATTTCACATAGGCATTTTATCAAACACCTTCAAGGCACTAAATCATTTAATCACATAAAATGTCCAAATTCATCACATAACTCAAAAAAAAATAGATTACGTGATTTCAAAATACCTAATTATCAAAACTTCCAAGAAATCACAAATTAGCAATTTCTAATTACCAATTCATACTAAAATTGAATTTACCCATTTCAATTAAATCAACTACAATAGGAAAGTGTTAAAATACACTTAACAGCCCACCCATTTCATATATTCATCCTAGGTTGAAAATAAACCTATTTAGAATGAAAACCCTACCTCTTAAAGCGTAAAACAATGCTAGGAAGCTCCAAGAAACCAAATTTTGCCCAAAACCAAACTTTCACCAAAATACCGTCCTTAAATCTTCGGTGAAACCCATCATTTTTGGTATGGTTGCATAGCCCTCATCGCGTGGATTGAATTTCATACTTGGTCTGAAGAATTCTGATCGATGGAACTCCGTAGATCTCAGAGAGTAGGTTGGAATTCTCTCTTTTTCCTCTCGTCTTCTTCCAATGTTAAAACCCAGCAAACCCATCAGAATAATCTATGGAAAAATAAAATTTGTGTTCCTATTTATACCCTTTAACTCTTGGTTCACATCACGCCACGATTTTCCCTATTCCT